ACGCACGTCCTTCCCTGCTCTCCTGGATGCGCTTCATCCGCTTCACGGCGGTAGGTGGCAATGCCCCTGTCATGCGTACGGAAGTCGCAACCTTGCCGGCGAAAGGTACGATCGAGATTGTCCCTCCAGCCGAAATGAAGTCCGGGTTCTACAGCCCCTACTTCATTGTACCGAAGAAATCCGGTGGGTTACGGCCAATCCTGGACCAGCGTGTTTTGAACCGAGCCCTTCACAGGCTTCCGTTCAAAATGCTCACGGCCAAACACATTTTCGAATGTGTTCAGCCACAGGATTGGTTTGCAGCGATCAACCTAAAGGACGCCTACTTTCATGTCTCCATTCTTCCTTGACACAGACGGTTTCTGCGGTTTGCTTTCGAGGGGAAGGCATATCAGTACGCGATTCTCCCCTTCGGCCTAGCCCTGTCTCCTCGCGTCTTTACGAAGGTCGTCGAGGCAGCCCTTGTACCGCTTCGGCTACACGGGGTTCGCGTCCTTAACTATCTCGATGACTGGCTAATCCTAGCTCACTCTCGAGACCAGGTTTGCGAAAACAGGGACCGTGTGCTCCGGCACCTAGCTCGTCTAGGCTTTCGGGTCAACTGGGAGAAGAGCAAACTTTGCTCAGTGCAGAGGATGTCTTTTCTCGGTATGGAAATCGACTCGGCCACCATGTCCCCGCAGTCTACGAGCGAGCGCACACAGTCACTGCTGACTTGCCTGCGTCAAATCCAGAGCAAGAGTGCGGTTCCACTGAAACTTTTTCAGAGGCTCCTGGGGCATATGGCATCCGCAGCGGCAGCCACTCCGCTCGGGTTGCTTCATATGAGACCGCTTCAGCACTGGCTTCGCGATCGAGTCCTGAGGTGGGCATGGCAACAGGGCACGCTCAGAGTACCAGTTACTCCGGCCTGCCGTCAAACCTCAGCTTTCTACGGGCCGGTGTGGCCCTAGATCGAGTTTCCAGGCATGTTGTTGTCTCAACAGATGCCTCCACCACGGGCTGGGGTGCCATGTGCAATGGACATGCACCGCGGTCCTCCTGGACAGGACCCGAGCGCCTTCTGCATATCAATTGCCTCGAGTTGCTGGCAGTACAATTGTCTCTGCACCGCTTCCATGCATTGCTCAAAGACCAGCACGTACTAGTCCGTTCAGACAATACCGCGACAGTAGCGGCGTACATCAAACGTCAAGGTGGTCTACGCTCCCGCCGTCACTCGCTCGCCACCTCCTCTTATGGAGTCAGAAGCATCTGAGGTCGCTTCGTGCTATTTTCATTCCAGGAGACCTGAACTGTGCAGCCGACGAGCTCTCACGGATTCAGCCTCTCTCCGGCGAATGGCAACTCCATCCCCAGTCGATTCAACTGATTTGGGACCAGTTTGGGGATGCTCAGGTAGATCTGTTGGCCTCTCACAACTCGACCCATTGCTCCCCGTTTTATTCCTTGACCGAGGGCACGCTCGGCACGGATGCACTGGCGCACAGCTGGCCGCGGGGCCTCCGCAAGTATGCGTTTCCCCCAGTGAGCCTTCTCGCACAGACCCTGTGCAAGATCAGGGAGGACGAGGAGCAGGTCATTTTGGTTGCGCCTTACTGGCCCACCCGGACTTGGTTCCCAGAACTCATGCTCCTTGTGACAGTCCCTCCCTGGCCCATTCCTTTGAGGAAGGATCTTCTGACTCAGAGACGGGGCACCCTATGGCACCCGCGTCCAGACCTCTGGAAACTCCATGTCTGGTCCCTGGACGGGACGCGGAGGTTCTAGGTTACTTACCCCCTGAGGTACTTAACACCATCACTTCAGCACGGGTGCCGTCCAGGAGACGTGTTTACCCCCTGAAGTGGAACCTGTTCGTCGAGTGGTGTTCTTCTCGCCGAGAAGACCCCCGAAGATGTTCGATGGGGTCTGTGCTTTCCTTCTTGCAGCAAGGGTTGGAGCGAAGGCTGTCTCCCTCCACCCTCAAAGTACATGCTGCCGCTATTTCAGCTTATCACGACCACATAGATGGCAAAACAGTGGGGAAGAACAACCTGGTCGTCAGGTTTCTTAGCGGGGCGAGACGATTAAATCCTCCTCGACCCCCCTCCATACCCTCTTGGGACCTTTCCCTGGTGCTTCGAGCACTTCAGGATGTTCCCTTTGAGCCTCTGCAATCAGTAGACTTAAATCTTCTTTCCATGAAGACTTTGCTACTGGTTGCACTGGCCTCTGTCAAGAGGGTAGGAGACCTGCACGCATTTTTGGTCGACGAATCGTGCCTAGAGTTCGGGCAGGGTGACAACCATGTGGTACTAAGACCCCGGCCTGGCTATGTGCCCAAGGTTCCTACCACTCCCTTCAAAAACCAGGTAGTGAACCTGCAAGCGCTGCCTTTGGAGGAGGCAGACCCAGGCCTGGCTTTGCTCTGTCCCGTTCGCGCTCTGTGTATGTACGTGGACAGAACTCAAAGCGTCAGGACCTCAGACCAGCTCGTTTACTGTTACAGAGGCCAGCAGATGGGAAAGGCTGTCTCCAAGCAGGGGATGGCCCACTGGATAGTGGATGCCATCGCCTTGGCTTACCAAGCACAAGGCGTGCCCTGCCCGCTCAGGTTGCATGCACACTCCACGAGAGGCGTTGTGTGACACGCACAAAATAAGTTTTGTTGAGATTATTACTTTTTGTTTTCTTTCCTTCTATATACAATAGTATTTTATTTTATTTTGATTTATGTAATTTAATATTAATGAGAGGGTACGGAAAAAGCACAATGACATGTATTTCCTAAAATGGACACAGGGTGGCAGTAATCGCGAGTAGCATCACACGGGGACATTTAGCGATGCGCAGAGCAAGATAGGCTCATAATCCAAGTCAATGGAGAATGAGCAACTGTGTTCCTGCGTCACTGATTTCTCTGTAATATTTAATATATTTCCAGGTCAGTTACACACCTTTTATGTGACTCAAGATGTTTATAAGCTTATATGAATCCCCAGTGAAGTGTGCTCCGTAAGCTAAAAACATGTCAAATGTGTAAACAGTTAAAATTGACAGTACGCAGTAGAGAAAATGGCAGCCGATGCCCGCAGATTGATTTTTCTTTCTTTCTTATGACTTCGGGGCATTTGTGGGTTATTTCAACGTGTGTGGAAAACAGCTATATGTGTTAAAAGGATAAAAAGTTAATGTGAATGTACATCATAAGACCAGTTACGGCTGCAACCATGTTTAAGGGCGCACGTGTGTTAATATTACAATAATACAGAGTAAGTTCATAGAACTGAGTGCCAAAGTTATGGGGCAGAAATGTTTATTTTTGAAGTGTGAGTTCTTATAGTGTAAATGTGACAAAACTTAACTGCAAATGAGAATTATCCTGTTGTATAAAGTGAACACTAATAAAATGTACATTTATTACAAAAATATTCTTTTGATAAGAGAACAAAGATGACAGATGTTAAAGAGAAAAGTGCAGATATGATTGATGATAGACCAAAAATGTGATTTAAATGGAAAATGTCTGTTTTTGGTTTCATACAAATTTTGATAAGCTAATGTTTGTAAAATATGTGAGTATACATTTATGTGAAAACAGACCTTTCAAGAATATATTGCTTCATGTTATCCAAATGTGGATATAACCTGTGCTTAAAAGCAAACAAAGACAAAAATAACAGAAAATAACTCATGATTGCAGATACAAAGTTAAATTGAAGTTGAAAATAAAGATAATCCGAGTCAATGGAGAATGAGCAACTGTGTTCCTGCGTCACTGATTTCTCTGTAATATTTAATATATTTCCAGAGCACTCCTTGGAGAGGATTATATATACATCTGCCAGCGGAGACCTAGCCGGGACCCGCTACAGTTGCATCCTCCTGGGCGCTGGCACGTGGCTCCTCGCTAACAGATATCTGTAGAGCTGCGGGCTGGGGGACACCTAACACGTTCGCTAGATATTATAGCCTACGTGTAGAGCCGGTCTCCTCCCGTGTTCTCACCCTAAACGGGTAGAAGCACCGAGAGGCCCGGCTCTGTCGGCTTGCTGCACCCTACTGTGCAACCTTATTACTCCAGAGTAAACCTGTTGAGTCCTCCAAAACCCCTCGGCCCACACATGGCGGAGCGCCTGGCGCCAGGCCTTTATCCGCTGAATCCTTGAGAACCGGATCTGGGCTGGGTTCCATATATGTGACCCTACGTGGATCCCCTATGTGTATTTTTTCCACGGCTGCTCCTATCAGAAGCCCGTGTCTTTCCCTTGGGCTAAGTCTCCCATTATTCATATGCAGCACAACCTTCGGGTTAGTCCATATGTATTTTCCACATAACTCTTGAAGAAGTGGCTTCCGCAGCGTTCTCCTTCCTAAATAGAAAGGGCACGCTTTCACAGTGTTATCTAATATCTCACTGTATGGGTTATCACGGAACAACAGTGTCAGACTCACTCTGTGTAAGTCTCTTCCTATCGTCCTTCCATGCAAGAAGGTGTAGAGGCTTGCATTGGGCGCTGGATGGGGTGCAGCGGCTGTGGCGCTTTGGTAGGGATTCCTATTGGTCAGTCATGACCTACGTTGTAGTGACTGACCGACAGGGAACGTCTCGGTTACATATGGTAACCCTCGTTCCCTGAGGGAGGGAACGGAGACGTAGGTCCCGTCACCACATCTGCTGCCGCCCGCTGGGGCGGCCAGCTTTTTCAGGCTTGGCTCCTCAGCAAAAAACTAGTGTGCAATCGCAACAGCTGCTCGTTAAATACCCGCGCTGCGAGGCTGCACAGCTGATGCAAATGATTGCACGCCAATGTGCATTGGCTTGTTTTAGTTTCACTCGAAGTAGATTGGCCTCTCTAGCGAGATTCCTATTGGTCATTCATGACCTACGTCTCCGTTCCCTCCCTCAGGGAACGAGGGTTACCATATGTAACCGAGACGTTACTTGCTCGTGTCATATTACAGTTCTCATTTTTTTTATTGGTGCATTCTTAGTGTTCATCTCAGTCTTAACTTACTCTCACAAAGTCTCCATAGAAAAGCCCTGGTCATTCAGAAGAATCCTCACCTTCTGGCAGCAATTCGACTGGTGATCTTTCAAGCGAGACCAAAAGTCATCATCATAATGTGGGTATTTTTTAAACTGTTTATTGCAAATGGACCTTCATAATTAGAAAGCACAAAGCACAGCATCAGTAAAGCAACAAACCTGATATTTGCTTTTAATGGAGTGTAATCCTTGTTATAACAATAATTTGTGTGAGAAACAGATTAACATTTAAATTGTTATTGAATTGTTAATGAACTAGAAGGTCAGTGTGGATGTAAAGAAAATTTATTTTATCAATATCAATTCTCAAACGTTTGGTATACATACCCGATAAATGTCATCATACAACTTGGTCTTGTGTTTGAGCTCTTCAAGATCTCGATTCCATCCTCCTGTAATATGCCAGCATCTAACCTAGATGTGGAAACACATTATACAGATAAAATTAATAAGATTGATAATGTCATTCTTCATCTGCTTCTTGCACATTAATTTAAACAATTCCATAACAGTTTAAATGGATGAAGGCCATGCACTACAGATGGGCGGATTCATTTGCTTTGCAAGGTTATCTGATATAGCAAGAGCATTGCAAAATTGCTAAACTGCCAAGTTAAATAAATAAATTAAATAATAATAATAATTGTAAAAAGCGCTATGTAAATAAATAAATAAAAACCATTTTGTGTTTTTCACAAGGTTTTTAATTCCTCAAAGGTGAGTGACTGTGTGATCAGTGTCATTAATTCATAGCCTTATAATGTTTTAAAAGACTAGTTCACTAAAAAAACTGAAACTGTGTGTTAACCCTCTGGGGTCGGCAATCACGCCGGCGTGATCTGCTCGCTTTTTTTCTTATCAGTGCAAAAGAGACTCAAAATACTCGGTTGATTTTCATCTTACATTTAAGTGTTATACATCATTAGATCCTGTTAAGTTTCTATTTTTTTGTGGATACTCACAATAAAAACAAAGTGTTGTGCTTTTCACCAAATAAAGAAAAACAAACATGATGCGAGTTCTGCGTTCTCTCTGTCAGTGAAGTCCATTCTGAAACGCGTCCTAAGATTAACTGTAACTCCGCGATTACTTGTCACACAGGCACGAGAGATTTTTCTTTATGAAGCTTGAATTCTCTTCTTTTAAATGAAGTAATTTATATAAAAAACAAATATTCTCAGTTTATGCAATCTGTATGAAAAGAGAGTGCTGTCAGTATTTTTTCCCCCAGCTCATTACACTTCATTACGCGTTAATCTGACACGCCCACGGAGGACGCGCGCTATTCAAACGCAAATGTCGAGGCAAGCCATGACAATGCCCACATCAGCCGTTCCACCGCGGTGGTAAAATGTGTGGTGTATTTGCTGCCTTTTACCGCTAAGAGGCGCTACAATCATAAAAGTGTTCGGTTATTCCGGTTTATTCTCCCTAATGCGTAATCTGCTGCCACACCGCGGCTCATTCAGAGCGATTGAAAGCTGGTAGCAGATGAATTCAACAAGTGAAACGTAGCTAAAATAATTCATAATCACAATACTGAAATTAGGCTACTGAAATGTAATTGAATAAATAATGAAAACATTTCAACAGTAGGCCTATACTTTAGCCTTTTACAGTTTTAAAAGATTATATCTTATATAGATTATACCAACAATTTGTTGTAGGCTTATTTGGAAATTACCATAACTTGTAGTATTTCATCCTTAGGCTACTGTTAATAGACATTAGCCCCACTTACGTTTTGCTAAATGTCCCTTTGCGCCACCTGGCGGTCATTTCGCGTACGACTATAAAATGCGACTGGTTTATTTTTACCGCGGTGGATGGCTAAAAGGTGTGACTAAAAATGTGCTTTTGGCTTTCATTTATATTTTGATTGTTTGTATATATATATATATATGTGTGTGTGTGTGTGTATATAAATATTTATTTATTTATATATATATTGTCCTTGCATTCTTTCTTGTGTGACACCCCTGAATGAAAGGCTCATTAGTATGCAGTCTGCTCAGGTGAGAACTGCCTAATTATTCATGAGGGGGTTGGGCCGTTCCGCCCATCCGCATATTGCCTTTGCAAACAAAAAAATGTTTTTCACAATTTAAAACAATCTATTGTTTTATGTGAATGATTAGGCAGAATGATTTCAGATCAATTTGAAGCAAAAACTCTAGGCGACAACATCCACTAGTCAAAAGTCTTGTGGACAGATATTTAGTATGTTATTTGTGGCCTTATATTAGAAACTTTATTTTTTAGTTTTTTCAATAACCACGCATAAACAATATTCTCTCAAAAATACAAACATGTACATACATGTTGATAACATATTATGGTAGCCCTGTGTGTGCTATATAGAGTGTAATTTCACCTGTGCCATTAATATGTTTATAAGCAACTGAAAAAAGCACAAATGTCAGAGCATGCCAAAACATCTCAAGGACCCCGAAAACACCTCAGACCCCAGAGGGTTAAACAAGCATTCGTTAAAATAACATCTTTTGTTCCTCAGAGGAAAACAGGTTTGGAACAACATGAGGGCGACTAAATGATGACAGCATTTCCCTCTTTGGATGGACTATCCCTTTGAATATTAAATACACAGTTCTCATCAACAGACAAATTCACACAGAAACAGGACAGAGGTGATTTCAGATGTTTCTCACGTGAGTTCGGTTAGACTGGGGCAGTTCTGGCTCATCTGGAGGGTCCAAACAGACAACTTCTCTGTTAGACACTTCACACTCATTTCCATCTTTTTCAGGTTAGAGAAGGAATGAAGAACAGACAGTAATGCATCCAAATCCCATCTGTGAATTATCTGAAAAAGTCTGGTCCAGTCAATGTTGAATATCTCTGAGTGTGGAAAGGTGAGACTGAATGATTCCAAATCCGGATAGCGAAGCAGGACAATCTCTGTGCAGGTACTGTAAAAAAAGAATTAAAAACGGTTGTTTTGACTATTAAAGGGGTCATATAATGCCATTTTTTGTACAAGCTAATATGATTCTTTAGAGTCTAAATTAAAACTTTGTAATATACTTTAATTAAAAATTCTCATTAGTATTGTAAGAAAACACTTATTTTACCTGGTCAAAAACAGCTCTGTTTTCAGCATGCCGTTTCAGTGCGTATGCCTTTAATTGATAATGACCTTTGCTCACCCCGCCTCTCTGTTCTGTGTACACCGTTTGTAACACAATAACCATAACGCGTTGTTCATTATAGACGTGGGATTATGAATTATATTGAGAACGTCGTACATAGAAAACATGCCGTAATGTACCCTGAGTGTAAACCTTAGACGCATTCATTGTGAAGCGTGCAGCTAGCGATTTGCAAAGATTAATAGAAATATTAAAGGTTCAGCAGGAACACGAATAGTTGGTACCGGTCCAGGAGCAGCTTCTTAGCAAAACCAGCTTTATACTGACCCTCCTCGTTTATAAGCAGTCTGGTGTGTGAAATGATTCGCGCAAATATGAAAGCATTGACGTTGCTCGTGGGGAATATTCCCTTCGAAAACAAACTCAGGTTCTGATTTAGGAACATGAAAATGACTGCTGTGTTCGTTATTACACCCAAGAACAGAACACCACAATCGCTGAGACGCCATTCTGCTCATAGACAGTGCTCCAGCCAGTGGCGGCCTTTAGCATCTGGGGGCCCGTTTCAATAACTAATATGGGGCCCTACCCACATAAAACATAAACATAATAGAGCAGAAAAAGCAAGGATTCCTGTTGGTTTGCATCAATGGTATATTATTTTATTAGTGCACTTTCAGCTTCATGAACAGGCAGCTCAACATAGAAATAATCCAACCTTGTTTGATTAAAACTATACAATTATACAGCGTTTTACGTTGGAATAAGCCTCGCCCTTTCACGCAGGGCAACTTCTAGTAGACTGAATGAAGCTTTTCTTTTGTTGTCCGATATCTTTCGTTTTTCAGCACCACTGGCATATGTACGTTTCATTTCCTCTTAAAATTATTTTTCTGCTCAAAATAACATTTTAACCTAACGGCCAAAAAGGCAAAGGTGTAAATACATAAACTACCGATATTATACTTCAGATCGCTTAAGCCGTTCGCGGGAGTGGTAAACGTCGCCATGGTAACCGCGAGTTCGACCAATCAGAGACGTCAGTGTTTTGCAAATAACAAGGTTGATTTCGTAGCTTGTGGCTTTTAAAGGAGCAGAAACTTTCATTTCACAACCTCGTGGCTCGTGGTCAATCTACCTTGAATGGTTTAGACATAATGGCTGAAAATCAATATCCTGTGGAGAAAATTAACGGGATTTTGCTGGTCTGTTGGGGCCACCTCGGAGGGCGGGACCCGTTTCAATTAAAACGGGTGAAACATAGGTAAGGCCGCCCCTGGCTCCAGCATTTCAACAATGACCGCGCCGGTCAATCAACAATCGCGGGAGGGGCGTCCGACCGTGTGACGTCACACGGTTGAACGGCTTGATTTGAGACAGGGGAAAACATATATGGAGATTAAAACAAAAACACTGGATGGATTTTTATCATTTTATGATGTTTGTGTACAGGCACTGCCAACACACATTTCAGTACAATCAACTTGAAAAAGTGCATGTACCATTATATGACCCCTTTAAGTCAAAAATTTATTGCTTAGAATATCTAGTTGTGATTTTTTGGGGGGGGGGGGGGGGGGGGGGGGCAGCAGCCAATATTTACATGAATATCAATAGTCAAAAAAGATAAAAGTGTGTACTTTATTTTTTTAACTGTTTTGGGAGACCAACGTAGTTGCATTATTACTATTAGAATTATAATCCAATAGATTGCGGAGACCAAGTATGCCAGATAAACGGGAGAGCAAGATGATGATATAATTGCTTATCAAAATTCTATTAATCATAGAATTATTTCTGTTTATCATGAGAAAAAAAACTATTTGATGAAAAGAAAAAAGAAAAAAATCACTTGTTCTTCACCTGGACGGCTCTTTGTTGATTGACAGATCAAGTGAGAGGAGGGTTCTTACACAAACACTGCAAACCAAAACACAGGAAAAATATACATGAACTAAAAGTTAAACAAAAGCACATTAAAGGATGATAAAACACATCAAATGTATAAAATATATTTAAAACATTACCGCTGTGAGCTCAGGGTCTGTCCTCTCGTGAGAGTGTTGATCAGTTCACCGAGATCAGAGACTGATGGATCCAATATAGTCAAGCTTCAAAATCAAATCCAGAACATCACTGTACAGACTAATTAAGCTTAACTTGCTATAGCAAATTAGACATTAGATATAAATTACATCCACTAAATATCTGTTTTAGACCAATGCATTTACCTTGCCTCTTTAAACTTGTGAAGTTCAGGCAAAATCATAGACAGATATTCCGATGTTAAATACAAACTATAGATTCCTTCAATTCTCTGACAGCACTGAGAGCAGAACAGCAGGGCACAGAAGTCTGCTCTACTGAGGAATGGACCATGAAGATCAATCCTTTTCCAGGATCCCATTGCTTCTTTCACAAAGTCTTCTTCATGAAGTTCACAGAGACAGTGAAGAACAATTAATACTGCTTCCGAACACAAGGAAAAACCTTTAACCTTTTCCAAAATCCATTCTTTCAAATGAGCCTGTGTTTTTGGACGAATGAACAGACCATGTTCTTTAAGTGTGAGTCTCACATCCTTATTCAACAAACCAAATGCAAATTGCACCACAGCTGCAAAACGTGGTTTTGAGGAACTATCCATTAAAAGTTTCCCCAGGGACTCTTTTTCATCCAGAAGGACATAGTACAGAGCACAGAAGAACTCCTGAAAGCTGAGATGCATGAAACTGAACATTGTCTCCTGGTAGATTCGTCTCTTAAACAGGAACTTGCACAAGAATGGATTTCCAGCCGGGTCTGAAATGGTTTCATTCACACTATCCTCATCCAGCAGGACTTGCTGTTCCTGCATCCCTCTCTCTGCCAGCTGACCCAGACTCCTCAGCAGGGTCGGGACGGACTGACTCAAACCCTGGCTGTGATGCTTCAGAAGAGTGCACACAAAGTCCACGTAGATGGAGGTGGTGGTTTCCAGTCCACTTGTCTTATTTGCGCCATATTTGAATCGCTCCTGGATAGTTGTGCAGATGATCCAGCAGACGACAGGGATTGAGCAGGCAGTGATGAGGGATTCATTTGCCTTCACATATGTATAAGCCTCCCTGAAAAGTTTCTTCTTTTGAAAAAACTTCCGGAAGTACTCCTCCACCCCCTTTTCTGAAAATCCCACAATCTCAGAGAAACGCTGAGGTCCTTTGAGCAGTTTACTGAGTGTGTCCGTAGCTGTAGATCTGGAGGAGACCAGCAGGAAAGACTCTGGCAGGATTCGACCCCTCAGCAGGGCACAAAGAGTGTCCACAGGTCGGGCTTTCTGAAGCAGATCAGTGTGTGCTGACGTGTCATTAATGTCCTGTGGGAGTTTCAGCTCATCAAATCCATCAATGACCACAAGCACCTTCTCTGGCGACTGCTGTAAAATCTGTGAGATCTCATGTGATGTTAAACTACAACTGCAGCTCAAGATCTCCACCAAACTCTTCTCGCCAGGAATGCGATTTATTTCTTTACACTTTAAGTGAAACACAATATCAAACCGCCCTTTGTAGAGGACACCAGATGCCCAGTCCATCATGATCTTCTGCACAGTGAAAGATTTCCCGTTTCCAGAATTTCCCTGCAGTATCACAGAACTGGGACTGATCCCGTGGTCATCTGGGTCGAACAGAGAGCTGAGCTGGACAGAGTCTCCACTGCTCCTGGAGCTGAGGACCTGCTGGAAGCGCTCTCCACTGGAGCGGATCTCTTCTTCTCGCTCTATTCGATCTCTGTGTTTCTGAAGGATCAGAGGTTGTGTGAAGCGCTCAGACAGCAGCACATGTTCACCAGGCAGTGAGTTATACTCAGTCACATACTGATACTCACTGCGGATCCGCTTCATATATTTGTCAATCACTGGGCTGCTTTCTGTAAAAACGGTCAATGTTCAAAGAGTTAGTTTTTTTTTTTCTTATTCTAATACAGTAAGAAATTCCAGAGCAGGGAAATACCAACTAAATTACGAGGTCGATGGAGTGCAATATTCAAAACATATTATTATAAAATTCATCAGTCACCTGAGGAATGTGTTTTTTCAGAGTGTGTGTTATGTCCTGTGAAGCCTGTGAACATTATACACACTTGATACATTAATTAATTTATTAATTGATATATTGATTAAGGCATTTCATAACATTTTTTAAACATTTGACATCAATCTATCTATCTCGCTATCTATCTCGCTGTCTGTCTGTCTGTCTGTCTGTCTGTCTGTCTGTCTATCTATCTATCTATCTATCTATCTATCTATCTATCTATCTATCTATCTATCTATCTATCTATCTATCTATCTATCTATCTATCTATCTATCTATCTATCACTCAACACATTTATTAGACCACCACCCAATGTAAGGTTTATCCACAACTGCCCTGAACAGTATTGGTGATACACATTTTTTGAGATGGGAACAAATATGTACAGACTGCACGTTATTCGAAAACACTAAAAGTACTCATAAATTCTATCCATAAGTGGAAATTAGTTATTTGTGATTTTCTACTTCCGGTTTGAAAAGCAAAGACTCTCAGACTCTCAGCTGATCCACATCTACCTATAGGAATACAACGCCGATCACTGTATTCATATATAAGCTCCTCCAGTATTATCAGCAGCTATCGCGTTTCTCAGGAGCGAATTACCCTCCTCCCTCCCCAGCTCCTCCTCTCGTCAGTCAGGATTTGGCCTTCTGATATCCCTTTGAGTTAGCCTGGTTAAAACCAGACCATCTCAGTTGTAACTGAGTTATGGTCTGGCAAAGCGTCATAGACAAATCATTTCCAGAGGGGCGTCACCAACGGACGTCGCGGATAGACCTAAACCCAATCAGAGCGATGAAGGAGATGACGTATGCAGAGCGGCAGAAACATCTCCGAGTGTTGTTCTTTGCTCGGTTTTTAACAAAAAGGAAACGTTCAAATCGCTTAAAACAGACGCGATAGCTGATTCGAACGAGTGATGTTCGACGGCGGCATCCATCTTTGTAATGTAGGCTACAAAATCTGCTTCAAAATCCCAGCGCTGTCGTCATCGTGTAAAGCCCGCCCCAACGTTTCTGATTGGTGCCGGGATTTTGGCGGATTGGAAATGAGCTTGAATGAGCTCTTTGCCAGACTAACTTTCAGAGCAAATCTAAATTTGCCGGAAGTTGTCTGGGTTTTCCCAGGCTACCTTTGAGTCAGACTAAATTCTCGAATTATGTTGTACATTAAAATATTGACATTAATGATATCTGCAATTCATTCATGTTGGTTCTGTTCTATTTACCCTAAAGGGTGTTATTGTTGCTCTCCTTGCTCTTATCCATGCTAGGCTGCACAGAACAGAACCATACCGCCAATCCAAAATATATGTTAATTGTCAACCGTATTTGACGCTTGTGGTCCTGATAGAAATAAGTTAACAAGATGGAAAGTTAAGACAAAATATTTAAGGTTTCTACAAGAGCTTCTGCAATTTGTGCAATGTCTGTAAAAGTACATATTTTAACAGTACATATCTCAGTACATACATACTCTAGGTCTAGACACATGTGGTATAATAGCCTAAATTAATGTGCTCTTACCTAAGTCGCTAAACAGAGATGGCTCATGCTTTTCCAGTCTAGAATAAAAGGCAAATTTAACCTTGTCTCCTCCAGAGTGCAAAACTTTATAAAACTCTCTCATTTTCTCCTGGTTAGTATCTGCTGCTCTGATCTTACAGTACGGCTCATATTCCAGCATGCCACCGGACCGCAGCTCATCCGCTATCGGCATCACCATCTGTACTCTCTGGACAAGTTTCGCCCAGTAGTCGTCCACTAACCGAGCACCTGGTAGAGAGATAACAACATGATAACTGCTCACAAGGAAGAACGTGATTTCATAAGATTCAAGAACGGCATATTCTATAGTGTACTTATTTGCTTTTAATCAGTGTAATAGAGATTTTTTTTCATATGACTATCTCTGCGTTTACTGTGGTAACTACTTACGCTTGGTCCAGTCTTGGTCCATGGTGTCTCATAAGTGTCTATGACGTGTTGTAGAGACCTGTCTTAAGTTGTCCTCTAGGAAATGAAACATAATGCACATAGTGTGAGATGGTTGAAGAGAGCTTTTGTGACCCGTGGTTAAAGATAAGACTATTAGTATGCTGTAAATTAAGTGGCATGTACAAAAATTAATCTAACATGCACAGCCCAAATTTGGCCTTTACTGAATATACAGTCACAAAACAAAATTGTAGAGACATAGGAGGTTGATTCATTTTCTCTGATAAATAAATGTATCAGTCAACTTCTGCTTTTGACTCAGTATTTTCAAATTTCAAATGGTATAGTTCTGTCATGACACCTCTGGAAAGATTGGCATAAAAATGGATATGACACCAGACTCCAGTGCAGGCTACAGCCCCTGACCAGAGCCCAGTGCAGGCTCCAGCCCCTGAACAGAGTCCAGTGCAGGCTCCAGCCCCTGAACAGAGTCCAGTGCAAGCTCCAGCCCCTGACCAGAGTCCAGTGACAGCTTCAGGCCCTGACCAGAGTCCAATGCAGGCTCCAGCCCCTGACCAGAACCCACTGCAGGCTCCAGCCCCTGACCAGAGTCCAGTGCAGGCTACAGCCCCTGACCAAAGTCCAATACAGGCTCCAGCCCCTGACCAGAGCCAAGTCTAGGCTCCAAGCACTGACCAGAGCCGAGTGCAGGTTCCAGCCCCTTACCAGAGTCCAGTGCAAGCTCCAGCCCCTGACCAGAGTCCAGTGCAAGCTCCAGCCCCTGACCAGAGCCCAGTGCAGGCTCCAGCCCCTGACCAGAGTCCAGTGCAAGCTCCAGCCCATGACCAGAACCCAGTACAGGCTCCAGTCCCTGACCAAAGTCCAGTGCAGGCTGAATCCCCTGACCAGAAACCAGTACTGGCTCCAGCCCCTAACCAAAGTCCACTGCAGGCCCCAGCCCCTGACCAGAGCCCAGTGCAGGTTTCCTGACCAAAGTCCAGTGCAGGCCCCAGCCCCTGACCAGAATCCAGTGACGGCTTCAGGCCCTGACCAGATCCCAGTGCAGGCTTCCTGACCAAAGTCCAGTGCAGGCCCCAGCCCCTGACCAGAATCCAGTGCAGGGTTCCTGACCAAAGTCCAGTGCAGGCCCCAGCCCCTGATCAGAATCGAGTGACGGCTTCAGGCCCTGGCCAGATCCCAGTGCAGGCTTTCTGACCAAAGTCCAGTGCAGGCTCCAGCCCCTGACCAGATCCCAGTGCAGGCTTCCTGACCAAAGTCCAGTGCAGGCCCCAGCCCCTGACCAGAATCCAGTGCAGGGTTCCTGACCAAAGTCCAGTGCAGGCCCCAGCCCCTGACCAGAATCGAGTGACGGCTTCAGGCCCTGGCCAGATCCCAGTGCAGGATTTCTGACCAAAGTCCAGTGCAGGCTCCAGCCCCTGACCAGATCCCAGTGCAGGCTTCCTGACCAAAGTCCAGTGCAGGCCCCAGCCCCTGACCAGAATCCAGTGCATGGTTCCAGACCAAAGTCCAGTGCAGGCCCCAGCCCCTGACCAGAATCCAGTGACGGCTTCAGGCCCTGACCAGATCCCAGTGCAGGCTTTCTGACCAAAGTCCAGTGCAGGCTCCAGCCCCTGACCAGATCCCAGTGCAGGCTTCCTGACCAAAGTCCAGTGCAGGCCCCAGCCCCTGACCAGAATCCAGTGCAGGTTTCCTGACCAAAGTCCAGTGCAGGCCCCAGGCCCTGACCAGAATCGAGTGACGGCTTCAGGCCCTGACCAGATCCCAGTGCAGGATTTCTGACCAAAGTCCAGTGCAGGCTCCAGCCCCTGACCAGATCCCAGTGCAGGCTTCCTGACCAAAGTCCAGTGCAGGCCCCAGCCTCTGACCAGAATCCAGTGACGGCTTCAGGCCCTGACCAGATCCCAGTGCAGGCTTCCTGACCAAAGTCCAGTGCAGGCCCCAGCCCCTAAACAGAATCCGGTGACGGCTTCAGGCCCTGACCAGATCCCAGTGCAGGCTTCCTGACCAAAGTCCAGTGCAGGCCCCAGCCCCTAAACAGAATCCGGTGACGGCTTCAGGCCCTGACCAGATCCCAGTGCAGGCTTTCTGACCAAAGTCTAGTGCAGGCTCCAGCCCCTGACCAGATCCCAGTGCAGGCTTCCTGACCAAAGTCCAGTGCAGGGCCCAGCCCCTGACCAGAATCCAGTGACGGCTTCAGGCCCTGACCAGATCCCAGTGCAGGCTTCCTGACCAAAGTCCAGTGCAGGCCCCAGCCCCTAAACAGAATCCGGTGACGGCTTCAGGCCCTGACCAGATCCCAGTGCAGGCTTCCTGACCAAAGTCCAGTGCAGGCCCCAGCCCCTGACCAGAATCCAGTGACGGCTTCAGGCCCTGACCAGATCCCAGTGCAGGCTTCCTGACCAAAGTCCAGTGCAGGCCCCAGCCCCTAAACAGAATCCGGTGACGGCTCCAGCCCCTGACCAGATCCGAGTGCAGGCTTCAGCCCCTGACCAAAGTCCAGTGCAGGCTCCAGTCCCTGACCAGTTTCCTTTTTGCCCAGAGACAAGAGTTTTCCAAAGTTCAGATGTGACCAAGAAGGTTATCAGCCATGATTGTAAGGAGAGAAGCATCTGTAAGATATACCACCTCAAACACCCAAGCCTTCATTTTTTTTTATAAAAAAAAAAGGGCATTCAGTATAATAAAGATGATACAAAGTCAACAGTGGGAAGTGCTTTTGGTCTTGCTCTATTCTAGTGCTCTTACTGAGCATGGTAAAAATAATTCCACATTGTCTATCATTCCTGTATGTGTGAAATTAAAGAAAGGAAGTAAAGTTGTGACCACTTATGCTTTCTTTGATTCTGGAAGCTCTATATCTTTCTGCACAGAGAGTTTGATGTCCAAGCTTAATTTCTCTGCAAAGAAAATAAACATTCTAAGGAGAACCATGGATCAGGAGAAAGCCATTTCTGTTCTGTAGCAGAATACATAGCAGATATAAAAAACTGGATGATTAACAGTAATTTCCTACTTGTTGTTTCCTACGGCAACAGAAAGAGAGTGTTTCGTCTCGTGCACCTCCACACAAACACTGGAAGCAGACGCAACACTCTCAGCCGAAGTCTTCTAAGTCGAAGCCGGATCTGAGGACCGTTCTTCAGGCTACGAAGGCCACTGGCGTCAGACCTGTGAGGGCAGCCCCAACCGAAGTGGAGCGGTGTACACCTCAGAATACGGTGCCCGTTCCATCTCGGTGTCCTCACGGGACCGTTCTGCCAACCCCGCCACCCTTGGTGCTTCAGGACGCAGCGGTCTCCAGCGAGCCTCTGGAGCAGTGTCAACTCGACATTGCGTCAGACTCGCGCCCTCTGAGGGGGGTTCAAAAACAGTCAGTTCAGGTAGTTCCTGCCAGTATGTTTCAGGCTCCCGAACTGGCTGTCTATATAACACCAGAGACCAGCCTTAGCAGATTTTCTGGCAGCGTGGAAGCTACTGCCAAATATATCTCGTTGGGTCCTGCAGATAGTAGAGAAAGGATACAGAGTTAGGTTTTTACAGCCGTTATTTCATTGTTCCAAAAAAGGATGGAGGGTTGCGTCCCATTTTTGTATTGTGAAAAGCGCTATACAAATAAATTTGAATTGAATTGAATTGAATCTTTGTCTGTTGAATCGTTCAGTAGAGAAACTCAAGTTCAAGATGCTAACACTCAAATAGATCGTGACCCAAATCAGATCCGAGGACTGGTTTGTCACGATAGATCTGAAAGACGCTTACTTCCATGTCTCCATCCTACCTCAGCACATGAGGTTCCTGAGGTTTTCTTTCGGGGGCAAAGAATACCAGTATCGGGTACTTCCATTCGGTCTAGCTTTATCACCCCGCACATTCACGAAGTGCGTAGATGCAGCTCTGGCCCCACTCAGGCTGCAGGACATACGCATTCTGAATTACATAGACGACTGGCTGATTCTAGCGGAATCAGAGCAGTTAGCGGTTCGGCACCGAGGTGTCGTTCTCGCTCATATGCATATGCAAGAGTTTCTCCATGACAGAGGACCACTTTCCTTGGTGTGGTCTGGGATTCAGTCACGATGCGAGCCGTTCTATCGCCCGCTCGTGTAGCTGCTATCCTCACAGCCACAAAAGAGCTAAAGCTAGGCCAGTCACGCACTGTAAAACAGTTCGAGAGACTGTTAGGCCTCATGGCAGCAGCGTCCAATGTGTACCTTTGGCCTGCTGTACATGAGACATTTGCAGTGGTGGCTCAGGACCAGAGGGTTCTCCCCGAGGGGAAACCCACTTCGTATGATCAAGATCACGCGGCGGTGACTCCGCGCCTTTGTTATATGGAGGAAACACTGGTTCTTAACCCAGGGTCCGGTGTTGGGAGCTCTTTGCCATCGAGTTGCTATCTTGACAGATGCTTCCCTCACCGGCTCGGGTGCGGTAATGGAAGGCCGCTCGGCTCAGGGTCTGTGGAGGAGTCATCATCTCTCTTGGCACATAAGTTGCCTGGAGATGATGGCTATCCTCAATGCGTTGAGACATTTCCTCCCAGATCTAAGGGGCCATTATGTGCTCGTCCGAACAGACAACACATCGATGGTCTCTTATCTGAACCGTCAGGGGGGTCTGCGTTTGCGTTTACTATGCAAGTTGGCGGACCAGATCCTTCTATGGTCCCTGGGGAAGGTACTCTCCCTGAGGGCAGTGTATATTCCGGGGGACCAGAATATTTGAGCAGACGTCCTGTCGAGGCAGGAGCTGAGGCCAGGGGACTGGAGACTCCACCCCGAGGCGGTGGAGCAAATTTGGGAGTTTTACGGCCAAGC